CAGAGAGAGGAGAGGACAGTCACCCGGCGGGATAAGGTATGCCGCCGGGTCCCCTCCTCTCTCCTGATACTGTCGGGCGTTCGGCCCATGACCGAGCGCCCGACTTTTCAGAGGGGGTGACACAAAAATGACTGTGAGTCATTTTGGTGTCACCCCTCCAATGGTGTCACCCGGGTGCGGGCCTCACCCCCCGCACCCCTCTTGTGACGCCACTGGGTTACAACCTGCTTCATTTTATAGAGCAATACATGGCAAGGGCCACCAGGAAGGTGAGCTCTTATCTAAACTTTGGGAGTTGTATCCAAAAAGGCAAGCAGAGGGCAAAGGACTAGTCACCGGTATTGCCTGCAGGCTCCCTGCAGCTGATCTATTCCCCATTACTGGATTACCGTGCCTTGTTCTGCACCATGTAGCTATATGGAGGCAGCCATCTTGGTAGAGGAAGGGCTTTGCTTCCTCATATCACAGCTGATCTCCTGATAACTAGTGGGGCAATATTCAAGAAGCTGAAGGAGAGGTGAAGGAAGCACAGAGCTACAGAATGAATGAAGCAGGAGCAGGGAGATCCTTTCACTGCAGGCCCTTCCTCTCCAGCAAGGAGAACAATAGGCAGGAGAGTGGAGACAGAACAAAATATGAACATATCTCCAGCATGGCACATGATGCTGAGGAACATTAATATGCATGGGAAGGGTTTAAAAAAGGATAGGAGATAAATGTCCTTTTACACTTACCGTATATCGGACTCGGCACTCAGAGGTGGACACTTCCATTCACCTGGAGCACTGCGATATAACAGGGGAAGGGGGCCGCTGTTAGCTCGGCAGAACTTCTCAAAGTCATCAGCCAGTGATCGGTGCAGGATGACCACATTGGCTTGGTTATAGCCTGCAACACAAAACAAAAACTTCGGTCTTCAATTCTGTGGGATACAAGACTAAATATCTGCACAAATCAGAAGTCTACAATGGTCCAATCAGCAATGGCTTCCTTCAAAGGTAATATACAGTCTTTTCGCATGTCAAGTCATAACATTCAATCCAAACTCACCTTGCCTGCACCCCCTCGCTGCTCCTTCCTCCGTGCAACCGGTGACACAACCCAGCGTTTCTGAGTATGGGGGAACATGTGACCTCCTCCACTGTAGCAGTGCATGGGGTATGAGCACTGAGGCTAAGGCCGAGCTCTGTAACATGACCAAAAACGTGAGGTTTGAGAGCACAGGTTGGCTGAGTATAAGGGGATCAGGGGAGGGGCCCATTTGCAGCAACGCTGTCACTGTGCAAAATAACTAAAAAGTATTCAGGTAGGACAAATAGTCAATGAGCAATTATCAAATTACGCAACGCATGCAGACGCTGCAAAATTGGGTCTAGGCATCTATGATCTCTAGTTATGAGAAGGGGGCTTGGCATAGACTGATCGCTCTGTTTGCATCAACCTGATCACTGAAATGTACACCGCCTGGCCAAAAATAAAGTCACACACTCTAATATTTCATTGGACGGCCTTTAGCTTTGATTACGGCACGCATTTGCCGTGGGATTGTTTCCAGAAACATATACAATGTCACAACATTTATTGCATTCATTTCCCACCAAGACCTTGTAGTGATGATGGGAAAGTCGGAGCACTGAGTAAAGTCTTCCCCAGAACATCCCAAAGATTCTCAATGGGGTTAAGGTCTGGACTCTGTGGTGGCCAATCCATCACATTCTCAAATAGTTCATCCCCTCACAGCTACCTCCTCATGTATCACCTCCCCCTCCCTCTTTTAGACTGTAAGCCCTCAGGGGCAGGGCCCTCCTTACCATCTTGTCTTGAATTGTATTGTAATGTCTTCCTTACATTGTAAAGCGCTGCGCAAACTGTTGGCGCTATATAAATACTATGTAATAATAATAATAATGTGTGACAATGATGTCTCATGCTCCCTGAAACACTCATTCACAATCTGAGCCCGATGAATCCTGGCATTGTCCTCTTGGGATATGCCCAATGTGCCATCAGGGAAGGATAAAAACCCTTGATGGAAAAACCTGGTCATTCAGTATATTCAGGTAGGCAGCTGCAGGGCTGTAGCTACCATGGGGCGAGTGAGGCACTCGCCTCAGGCGCAGCAGAGAGGGGGTGTAGCCAGGGCGGTCTGGCTGCGCCCCCTTGCCCCTTTTGCCAAGGTGAGCACAGGATGCCATTGGCAACAGGGGCGCCAGGCAGCCAACACAGCTGCGGCTCAGCAGGGAGAAGAGGAGCGGCACAGGCTCCAGCTTCTCCTCGGATCCCCGTTTATCTCCCCCACCTGTATGGGCAGAGGACTCTGTGTCCTCAATCTCTTTTTCTATTTCAAAAGGGAAATGTAAAGGGCATGTTTAGACCCCTAATATCTCCCCTAAAGCCCCCCCAACAGGGGGGGGGGCACAATTTTCTGGAGGGGGCACAATTTTCTGTTCTTGCCTCAGGTGCAAAAGGAGCTAGCTACGGCTCTGGGCAGCTGACCTCATTTTTTGGGTACATAATGTTGCAGAGCATAGACCTGAACAGCTGAAGCCACCCCAGGTCATAACACTAAATATTAGAGAGTGCGACTTTTTTTTGGGCCGGCATTGTATAAGCTTCCATCAATCAACATCCTCACACCAAAACGCTTCCTACATGATCATTCCATGCTTGGTCTGCAGGAGATGACGCAGCTGTGTTGGGTGGTAAACGTTCCACCGATCACTCGTACATTGGACTCAGTCTGTGTGTCTTGTAATTATTTACCAAATGACAGCAAGTCAAAGTTCCTCCCCGTCTCACACTTGTGATCTGCTCTAGCGAAGCCATGATGGCGCCATGTGTCTACAAGCCACAGGGGAGGCACAATGGCACAAAAAAGCTACCCTTGCACTGCCCCCCCTCCCACAGGGCTCTGATCAAAGTCCAGTAGGTCTTTATTGCATGTAATAACAGGTCAGGAGAAGAATACAACGCGTTTTGGGGATCAGAGATCACCTCATCTCAGGGCTTGAATTTTGCCTGTACATAAGAGGAGTAGGGGACAATATGGATGAGTTCAGGTTCTGACCGAACCCAGTCCAAACCTGAGCTCCTCCGAAGCCAGAAAGAAACTCCTTTTGTGCCCCCCAATCAGCTCCATAACTTGACGTAAACAAAGGGGCGGGATGCAGTGATGTCATTGACCTTTTATGGCCACATGACTATATTTGGTAAATGACATTCACTGAATATAGATACAGTATGTGGCCATATAAGGTCAATGACATCAGCTCAAGCACCCCGCCTCTTTGTTTACATGCAGCTGTGGGATGGGGAATGTCCTAGCACACATCTGATTGGGTGAAAGTGCCCATAGCGCTTCCGTGATTGGAGGAGCTCAGGTTAGGACCAGGTTCAGTCCAAACCTGAGCTCATCTCTACTGGAAAATAAACAGCAAAATAAATGGATGCTGAAAGCAGTGACACAGGTGATTGGCGACCAATATCACTATTTTCAATATCCCATTTATTGTCCAGTATTCTTCTTCTTATTTACAGCCAGACTCTGAACCCTGATGAAGGGGGAGTTCTGACCCCCGAAACGCATTGGATTTTAATTCCATCAAGTGCAATAAACACTTACTGGACTTTGATCAGCCACTTGGAGCTCTCATTTACATTCTTGTCTTGTCATGTAAGCAGTCAGAACATCTGTGTGTTTGACTCAATACAAAGTGCCACTTCTTACCAGCAGACATGCCCGAGGTGTTGCGGAGGCTGATTTTGTTGTGTCGGATCAAACCTCGGGCCGTAGCAGGGAGGAGAGTCCGTAAGGCATGCAGACAAACCATATCTGAGGCCTCCTGTAAAAACAAAACATAAAAAAGTAGTTATGTCAAGTGTAGCCTGATGACTACAGAACACCTCCCTTTTATGGTATAGCAATGAGAAGAGGGAGACATGTTCAGTATTCCTTATAAACTTCCTGTCCTAGGGTGACAATGATGCTCCTCCATAGATAGAATACAGTGCATGAGCGTTGTCACCCTGAGAAAGGAAGTGTGCTATTGGCAGGATCCCTAGGTAACAATAAAAGTAAAAAAGGCTGAAAAGCTGTGAAATTTGCCTCTGTGCAGGAGCTTCCTGTGTTAAAAACCGCTCACTGCTGCTCTCTCTCCTTGTGCAGGGTGACTGGTCTAGTCTCTGCCCCCTCCTGTAATAAAGACAGCTCACTGCTGCTCTCTCTCCTTGTGTAATAGACGGACACTGCGGGGACTAGGTAGGGGTGGCCGTCGCTTACTGGCGCAGGCGCATCGCGGTTCGGCCGCCTCCGCTCGCCATCGGAAACAGGTGAGCTCTGGTGCGGCTCTCCATAGTCGCCTCGCGCAGGCGCAGCACGGGCCTCTGTCATCTCTCCCTTCAGAGCCGTCTACGTCGGGCGCAGGCGCAGGGAGAAGCTCCGCCCCTTCAAGACGCAGCACTCGGCATAAAGCCGTGGTCCGGTAGTTGATCAGCGTCTTTCTGTTAGTTGTGGAAGGACGCTGATCAACTCAGCGCTCCACTCGCCTCAACGCTGTGAGACCCAGTGCTTCCAAGCACCCTTGTTCCAGCGACCAAAACCGCAAGTAGACTTGGCTATTTCAGAGTAGTGGGCAGAGCCAATGCTCCTGCCCTATGTGAACCCATGCTGACTATTGATTGCTTGTGTGCAGATCTACAGTAACCATTGCATTGCTATCCGTTTAACCAGGGATTACTATTACCTGTTACGTACAAACCTCTGTGAAATCAATACATTGCTATCCATTGAACTAGTGAATACTATTGCCTGTTTGTACAGATCTCCCTTAACCATTGCATTACAATCCAATGAACCAGTGATTACTATTACCTGTTTGTACAAATCTCCATTAACAATTGCATTGCTATCCATTTAACCAGATCCCACTATTCACTGTTGGTGAACACTACACCATATCCCACTGCACAAACGGGGCATGATGTATCGTAGCCTCCCAATCGCCTAACTCTACGAAACTGGGCACTTCTGGGAGTAGCTGCTAATCTGATACCCGTTCCTAGGAAACCTTCCGTCCGCAGCTGTGATCCACGCCGGGGTTTAAACCCTCTCCCAAGGCGAGTATTACACCTTGTGCAGGGTGACTGGTCTGGTCTCCGCCCCCTCCTGTAATAAAGACCGCTCACTGCTGCTCTCTCCTTATGCAGGGTGACTAGTCTTGTCTCCGCCCCCTCCTATAAGAAAGACCGCCCACTGCTGCTCTCTCTCCTTGTGAAGGGTGACTGGTCTTGTCTCTGCCCCTCCTGTAATAAAGACCGGTCACTGCTGCTCTTTCTCCTTGTGCAGGGTGACTGGTCTGGTCTCCGCCCCCTCCTATAAGAAAGACCGCCCACTGCTGCTCTCTCTCCTTGTGCAGGATGACTGGTCTTGTCTCCACCCCCTTCTTGTAATAAAGACCAATCACTGCTGCTCTCTCTCCTTGTGCCAGTTTATCACTGTTGGAAGCAAGATCTATACAGTGTAACTACAGAGGGCTGAAATGTCTCTAGACCACCTACCTCAGGTACTGACCCTACAGAGGAGTCCGTGGCAGCTTCAGAATCGGTCGCCATCACAGAATAACATTACATAAAGCTGCAGCGCAGTGAACCCATTTATAAATAACAATTGTTAACCAGCAAGTTAAACAGTTGTCACTCTGTGACGTTCCCGGTTTATGGATGTCTGACTTAAAGTGACCCGAACTCAATAAATGAAGATATATCTTTTCTATAAGGGAACGTCTGGAAACGGGAATGCCGCTATGCTGCAGTGCCCATGTGCGGAGTGGAGAAAAGAGCAGAGTGACAGAGAGATGAGCTCATCCGTCTTCTGCTTCTCCCTTCATTCGCTGTCCCGGGACAAGATCTGTTGGTGTTTGCTAATTGCAGCAGAGAAAAATCAGACCTCCGGCCAGACAGGACTGCGGCGTGCGCATCTCTGCAACTTCATATGCAAATCCAGCGTTTGCTAAGTTGATATAAAAATTCTGTAGCAACGCACTTCATATGCAGATCCTTCCCCCTCACCAAGGCAATTCATTGTGTGTGTGCTGGGTGGGGGGTGGGGTTAGGGCACTGCCTCCTTAGGCGGTAAAGTTGGGCCCTGGTCTGGCGCTGGAGCAGTGCTGAGAAGAGGAAGCAGTGAAAGAGCTGGAGAGAGATGCCGCTCATCCACATTATTCACACTCGGTACCCACCTGGGGGGGCCTCTGCTAGGGGAGGCAGAAAGGGGCTAGACATTTTAGGATGAAGGTGGAGGGGGGGCTATTATTTCACTTCCTTACACCAACTTGGGACATTGCTTTCCCCACTGACCGGCAGTAAGGGTTGCAATATTACTGACCAGTGGATTCTGTATACAGGTCTTTACCTTATCTGCTATCCTTAGAATGTAGGTTCTCCCCAGCCTGCTTTATGTGTTTGCATTAATCCTGAGCCCTGCACTGCATTCAGTGTTGTACAACATACCTCTGACCCCCTGAACTGTATATGGTATGCTGTACATTTTACTGTGTCCCCTGCACTGCATTTAACATGTTGTATATTATACTCCTAACCCCTTCACAGTATGCGTTATGGTGTACATTAAAACCCCTCTCCTCTGCACTGTATATGCTATGCTGTACCTTATACTCCTGACCCCTGCACTGTATATGCTATGCTGTATATTATACTCCTAACCCCTTCACAGTATGCGTTATGGTGTACATTAAAACCCCTCTTCTCTGCACTGTATATGCTATGCTGTACCTTATACTCCTGACCCCTGCACTGTATATGCTATGCTGTATATTATACTCCTAACCCCTGCACTGTATATGCTATGCTGTATATTATACTCCTAACCATTTGCACTGTATATGATATTGTAATGGATGTGGTTAAGTGACTATGATAAAAATGCCTATTTCAATATATATTATAATATATATATGTTATTGCTCCTGTTCATATTAATTCTTAATCAAAATGGCTGCCTAGTTAGTTGCTCAACTTAGCACCCCTCCCCCCCATGAGAAGTACGCAGTAGAAATAGAAACCAAGATGGCGCCTCCAGGAGACTCAACACCCAAGACGAGACGTCAGAACCCTGGAAGGAGGTTACGCTTTAATGAATCAGTCCAATTATAACCTAGAAAGCTATCGCAAACGCTATGTTTACATGTACACTATCAGTTGTCTATATAAAACACAACAATGCGAAACAATAATAAAGAAGTGATTTTACACACAGTGCAGGTAGTGTGATTTTCATTTTCTCTCTGTGGGAGTATACTCTATTGAATCAGGCCAGGCGGCAGATATAAGTACGGAACCTTTTGATCCGATCTAAATTTGTGAGCAGGTCCAAAACAATATGATGTATATTTTACTCCTGACCCCTGCACTGTATATGCTATGCTGTATATTTTACTCCTGACCCCTGCACTGTATATGCTATGCTGTATATTATACCCCTGACCCCTGCACTGTATATGCTATGTTGTATATTACACTGCTGGCCCCTGCACTGTATATGCTATGCTGTATATCATACCCCTGACCCCTGCACTGTATATGCAATGTTGTATATTATACTCCTGGCCCGTGCACTGTATATGCTATGTTGTATATTATACTCCTGACCCCTGCACTGTATATGCTATGTTGTATATTATACTTCTGGCAGCTGCACTGTATATGCTATGTTGTATATTATACTCCTGGCCCCTGCACTGTATATGCTATGCTGTATATTTTACTCCTGACCCCTGCACTGTATATGCTATGCTGTATATCATACCCCTGACCCGTGCACGGTATATGCTATTTTGTATATTGTACTCCTGACCCCTGCACTGTATATCCTATATTGTACATTACACCGCTGACCCCTGCACTGTATACGATATGCTATATATTATACTCCTGACCCCTGCACTGTATATGCAATGCTGTATATTATACCCCTGACCCCTGCACTGTATATGCTATGCTGTATATTACACTGCTGACCCCTGCACTGTATATGCTATGCTGTATATTATACTGCTGGCCCCTGCACTGTATATGCTATGCTGTATATGACACTGCAGACCTCTGCACTGTATATGCTATGCTATATATTATACTCCTGACCCCTGCACTGTATATGCTATGCTGTATATTATACCCCTGACCCCTGCACTGTATATGTCATGCTGTATATTACACTGCTGACCCCTGCACTGTATATGCTATGCTGTATATTATACCCCTGACCCCTGCACTGTATATGCTATGCTGTATATTATACTCCTGTCCGCATGGGACAGACATTTTACAGGGCAGCCTTATGCAGCGCCATGGTCCTTCCCGTGTTTGCGGAAGCGGGAGGTTCCTGTAGACCCCGCTGGTCTTGGGGCAGGAGGGTGCATTTTGTGCGGAATGCGCCCTCCTTGATAATGCCTGTGTTGTCTCTTGACACGACATGGGGAATTAGGCAGATTAGGTACCTGAATCACCCCTATGGGGGGCACCTGTTGGAACGTACCTACTCTGCCTAATGGTAAATCCGGCCCTGCCTACACCAGGGATAGGCAACCTCGGCACTCCAGCTGCTGTGGAACTACAAGTCCCATGAGGCATTGCAAGACTCTGACAGCCACAGACATGACTCCCAGAGGCAGAAGGATGATAGGATTTGTAGTTTCACCACAGCTGAAGTGCCAAGGTTGCCCACCCCTGCCGTAGACAATAAATTAACCCTTGCAGTGCGGGGGTAACCTGCTGCAAGGGGAGTTTTGTGTTTTCCCCAAAGATGGGCTTTAAACTATATTCCTTCCCTGCATGCAAAAGCTTGCTGGACGCACGGCAGAAAAATAAATAAATAAAAAGTTGTCCCTGGAATTTTTTTGGAAGTGTCCCTGCAATAGACGCACCCGGACACAAAGTAGAACAGCTGCTCACCTTCCAGCGTGATTGAAATTTCAGTTTCAAAACAGTCGCCGTGCGATAAACGAGACGACAGAACAAAGGTTCCCAAGGAAGAAAAGTTCTGCCTACCACAGCGACATCTTGTGGACGAATAATGCAACTGCGTCGTTATTTTCTCCCTCGTTCTACGAGGGAGGATCGAAAAGTAAAATGTATAAATTACGCGGTAACCGAAACTTGCGCAATGCAGCGTATTTACATAGCCTGATGGATAGTTCGACCATGCGCAGTACAGTGCTCGGACTTAAAGGAGAACTATGGGGTCAGGGCTTTTCCCCATAGTTCTCATTAGGGTAACGGGAGGACACAAACTAGCGTCCTGCCGTCACCCTAAGCTCAGTATACCAGGCGCTACTGCTCGCGGTATACTGAGACGCCGCAGCTGAAGCGGATCCCGACAATTATGTCTGGATATGCCCGGCTGCGTGACTGACAGCTGGCTCTGCCTATCAGAGCCAGCTGTACCCGCCCCCTCCCCCGTCCGTTCCGTCAGTCAGCGCTGGCGGATCGGAGCAGGGAGGGGGGAATCCAGCCCCTCACCTGTCACGGCAGAGAGCCGTGACAGGATCGAGAGGTGAGCGAGCGCCGGTATGTGTTCGCTCACCTCCCCATCTACTGAGCCGACCTGTGACAGTCTCATTGTCACAGGTCGGCTAGAACTATGA